TCAATATTACAACATATCACTAAGCATAAGCCCAATACATATAAAAACAACCTCAAATGTGCTAAGCCCAATTACTAACTTATAAACAGTCCAAATACATATAGTTGTTACTTTTCAAGCTATATTTCTTGCCGCACGTCAAATTAATAATTACATGTCTACAAAATTTTTCACTTTTGCTATTTTTTCTCTGTACAACGAGAAAAGTTTCTATCTACGTGAAGTCCACTTCACTCGCTGGGAACCTCCTGAAGTTGGCGCTGTCAAAATCAATACGGATGGTTCACTCTTGAATTCGTCTGGAATGGCATCCGCCGGGGGTTTGGTTCGTGATGCCGATGGTTGAGGGGAGTTTCTGATGAATATTGGGTGTTGTTCTATCACGGGAGCAAAATTATGGGGCCTCTACCAAGGTTTGATGATTGCATGAGATCTGGGTTATCGTAAAATTATTGTAAGTGTGGTGTCCATGGCGAAGGAAGTCCAACAGAAAACTTTAGAGTTCATGGTAGCTTGGTTCAAGCCATTCAAGAATTGCTTAGCCGAGATTGGGTAACTACTGTGTCTCACTGTTACAGAGAAGCTAATTTCGCAGCCGACTGCTTGGCGTCTCTGGCTCATCGTTGTCATACTGGTTGTCAGAGATTATTAGACCCACCATCAATAGTTAAACCGTGGCTACAACATGACTTTCTTGACATAGCTCACTCGCGGAATATAACTATCTAATGGTCTAGAATTTTGTCTTTGTACCAAAAAGAAAATATTATTTTGGATAAAAGAAAGAAAATTAATAATTCAAACAATGCCTAATATTAGGCCAATCTCGCTAAAGAAAATGGATAATTCAAACATTGCCTAATATTAGGCCAATGTCTAATTTCACATATTAAACAAAAGCCCAAACCAAAAGAAGGAACAAAAATTTGTTAACAGTAAGATTTAAGCATATTCTATCCAACAAGCACCAAACTTAAGGTACAGTTAAATGATTTCAAAGAACACTTGTAAAACAAAGTACATGAGCCATGGACATTATTAGTTATAACAACAGAGCAGCAAGTTGCAGCCATGGATCTGTAGAAAGTCCCATACTAAGTTAGAGCCAACATTAAGGAACACTGAGTTCCAAATCTCGTTAAAGCTCGTCAGCGAAACGTACTCAGTTCTTTATAATGCGTTGAAGCTTCTGGACGATTTCGGACATTGGCGGCCTGAACTCCGGCTCGGGCTGTCACAGAAAAAATCCCTTACATATTAAAATTGTTCGATACTTTATAGTTTCATTTTGTTTTGCAAAAGTTACCGATCAGTTTAACACCAAAGTACCAAAAATAAAAATCAAATAAAGAAATCATATGACAAGAAAAATTGGAAGTCATCACAAGAGGATTTGTTGATGCAGAATCCTGACCGAATGGTTTTTCACGGGCAAATCAAACCCGCAATTTAAAGGCGTGTTTTTATACAAATATATCGCTCAAAATGAGTTTTTCAGTTAATGAGAGTTAGATTTTGGAAAAAGTGGTATGGTAGTTGTAGTGGGACTTTGTTTTTATATTAAAATGATATTTAAAATAAAATAATAAAGTTGATTTTTTATGTAAAAGTAGGAAAAAAATGATGTGAAATGATAGTTAAAATTATGTGAGTGGATAAATAATAAATTAAAGTTGATGTGATGTGTAATAATAATTGGTTAGTATTATTTAATTATATTGATAATATTGAGGACAGTGGAATTGGGTAAAAATTGAACTAGATTTTGAGTATGAATTGGATTGAGGTTTTTTATATGCAAACACACCCTAAGAAACTAAAAATATCTAAATAGAACTCCCTAAAATTTTAATCAACTGCATAAAAACAAAGTCTTTTGTCATGAGTAAAAAAAGTCACCTGAATACACAACGATATTATGTCTGCCACGCGTGATAGTGACATGGACGGGTAAGCACCGTTCATGGTGGGGTCCACCATTCTCGACAAAGCGTCTATATCGTGAAGGCGCGAAAATGCCCATCTCGCGAGAGATTGCTCCCCCCGGGCACGGGACCTAAGTTTTTTTCCGCAAATGTAATAGAGTTAGTTAGACCTTTCAAAATCACGAGTTAAAAGGATAATTTGATATATAGTCGTACTTGACTTAGAGGGCTCAATCATATTTTTCGAACCTGTCGTGAGATTTCCGACCAGTTAAGAGCCTTAATAACACAACTCCAAAGCTGTAGACATCACTCTGTGAAGAATAGCTACCGAATTCGAGCTCTGGGGCCCCGTAACCTGAACCTT